AATTTTCATTTTCCATTTATTAATAATTTTTTTTTTAACTTGCAATAAACAATATAGTACAGCGGTACCCGAAGTTTCGTACAGCTTCCAACTCGAACAATTATGTAAGTGTATTGTTGTAAGTGTATTTTTGGGGGTCTGAAATGGACTAATCTAATTTACATTATTCCTTATGGGAACAAATTCGTTCGGTAGCAGCACTTGAACAGCCTTCTAGAATGAATTGTGGCTGAAATTCAGGGTACCACTGTATATTATTAGAGGTTTGGATGTTTTAGTTTCATGTTTAATGTAACTGGAAATTCACTTTTATTTTCATAACTGAATTCATCAGATTACTAAATATGGTAGGTAGATTCAGAAATTTTGTTTTATTTTTGCAGATTTTTAAGCCTCATGGGGGTGCCTGTAAATTAGCAATGAGTACAGACACTGGCATCTCATGAACCTTCCTGGGTTATTTAATACCTGTTGAGCAATAAGCATTTCCTTGTATATTCATTATAGTTATAATTTAAAAAAAAGTGAAAATGTATCGGTATTAGCCTAAAATTAAGTATTGGTAGACATTTTGATATCATCCCATCTCAGAAAAAAAAAAAAAAAGTTGTGGCCATATGGGTCACTTAGGACTTCTTGTAGTTGGTTTATTAATTTGTTGAAGGAGTCTTGGCCAATGTACCTTGAAGTGATGGGGTATATTAAAGGTAGTGTAAGAAAAACTCATGATTAGAGAAAACACTAACTTGGTAAGGACTTGTAATATTATACGTGCATTTGCTCAATATCATGAACATAGGTAAAACTTTATAATCAATATATACTTACTCTCAATATCTGTATTCATCTCAAATATTAATCGCTCCATTGTGTCAGCCTAAGGTTAATAATCAAAATTGTAATTCTTCTCTATAAAACTTAGTAAAGCCATATAGCACAACCTAATAGAATATTCAACACTCTTGTATTCATTATAACTCGCCTAATGACCATCTGTACTGTTATTGCCTTATTAATCTTTAGTTTTAAGTTTGCCCGAAATGCTTTGCATATAAAGGGGAGGGGTGTTAATGTTGCAGTTTAAAAACTGTAATGTAAAGCACCCTTCTGGCAAGACAGTGATGGAGTGAATAATGGTGAAAGTTTTTCTTTTTCAGGCCACCCTACCTTGGTGGGAATCGGCCAGTGTGATAATAAAAAAAAAATAAAGGGGCTTTTGGCATGTACACCCAACTATTATATTCCTTTGTAAAAACATGTATCTTGTTGAAATAAAATATTATCGAGTTTATAAACAGCTGATATAGAGGCCATGCTGACTGTTAATTAATAATTTTTGAAAAAAAATGTCAGACAAAACAGGAGGCAATAAGGCAGTTTGGCAAGATTAGTTAGGAAAAATGGCAAGCATTTCCAGACGAAAGTCTTAGTCACATGATGACCCACCACTGGAGGTTTTGGTTATCTAACTGAGGTTTTCAGCTAGCTTATTGGTCAAATCCTTAAAAAATCAAGGTTATAATTATAACCGTGAAAAAATAAGGCAGTATCCAACTAACAGTATCTGTGTTGACATTTATAATATATAATAGTACAAAGGTGAATGACATTTGGGTGTACGTACATGCAAAAAGTCCCTAAATGTGCAGAGCATTTTGGGGAAACTTAAGACTAACTTAAGATTAATAAGGCAATAACAAGATAAGGAATTTTACACATACAGTCACTTGGATGAGTGTAAGTATAAATTTAAGAGTTACATTGAATATAAGAGAATTGAATATCCTATTAGTTCATGCTATATGGCTTTTATCAAGTTTAACTGATGAGGAATTACTGGTTTGATTTAACATAAAGGGGGACAATAAATTTTTTAACGTTTGGGAGGATTACATATATTGAGAGTAAGATTGTTGTTTTACATGTGTTTGTGACAGAGAGAACATGGAAATGCAGTTTTCACATATTGAGGTGATGCTATGTTAGGGAGATAAGGTGTTTTTTAATGGTAGTTTTGAAAATGCTAGCTGAGACAGTGGTTCTGGAGATTTCCTTCAGAGTTCCAGATTTTTGGCCCTTTTATATACAATAAATTTTTGAAGAGATTTAGCCGGACATGGGGAATGTCAATAGAGATTTTTGTGCTTAGTATTGTCTATGGGTCCTGTGGAGAAAATTCTCCAGTTTAAAGGGGTTGGGGATAGCCCTCAGCCCTCTGAGGGGCTTAGCCCTCTCAGAAAGGGGCTAGTGGACTATGACTTCCTTGTTATTACAACAGCTTATTATAGACATAAGCACCAGGTGTCACCATGCACGTCTCTCACTCCTTGCTAGAGTTTCTGAGCAGCTACACAATGAGGTTAAAACAAGAGTAATAGCTCTTTCCCCACAGCAGGGAAAATTAGGTGGAAACCTGCGCCCTACTTAGTCTACAAGTCAGAATCATTATAACTCTTAGCTCATGGCTAAAGAACAAGGAAACAGCTCTCTTGTGTTAAACTGTGTTGCAATGTCTAGCAGGAATGTCTGTAAAGCTGAGCTCAGGCATTTCCTTTGTGGGTATGAAGAACTGGAAGGTGCCTCGCAGATCGGCAAGCTAGATTGATTTCAGGACTTAGAGCGTACATACATCACAAAATCTCCCATTGAAAACAAAGACATCAGTGATCTTGTGCAGTAAACTCTGAAATACTATCAATCTTCACTAGGAAATTTAACTGGTGTAAACAAAGTGTAGTGATCCACGGTATAAATCACAATAAAGTGTGTTAACGTGTGTTTCATGGTGTGCACTCAGGTGTAAACAAAGGGACAAAATATCTCCCTACCATGAATAATGAATGGTGTCAAAGTGATTATGATGCTTTACAAGTGAGGACAATATAACTATGCATCTGTAGCAGCCTACTCAAGACAACGATATCGGGGTCATCAAACCTCCCCTACAACAAGTGAGGGGAAATTGGGTCATTACAATACCCAGGAAAGTCCAGTCATACCCACATCATCTTATGTTAGCTACAGCTAATAGGTAGATATGGGATTTGATTGGGTTTACCATTAGACCTCGTCACATATGGAGAATCCGCCCAACACCAGTGAGTACCAAGGTGCATTTTATTTACAATCAGTTTTGAAATGCTGGATATATATGCTCCTTTGGGGTATATATATCCAGCATTAGGGAGTAGGGATTTGACTCATTTGAAGGAGATTCCTTGAACTGCAGCTGCAAGAAGTCTGAGTCATCACTGAAGCTAAGTATATTTATGTTTATGTTGGAAAGTAGACTTGGGTTGTAAATTCCCCCACAGGTCGTGTTGCAACTGTCAAGAAAATGCTTCAAGTCAGGGTTTAATGTTGGGAATTATTGTTTTATAAATGTAGGATGCACAGTAATAAGAGTGAATATTTTGAAGAGTGGGGGGGGTGGGGGGTTCTTGCAGTGGACTGTGTGATCATTTGCACTGCAGCTTTTTGTTGGGTTATTATTGGCTTTAGGTGAGTTGCTGTTGTGGATCCCCAGGCACAAATAGCATAGGTAAGGTAGGGGCAGATCATGAATAGTATGATGTGAGTAGTGCTGCTTGAGGTATACAATGTATCTGAGAGGATACCAACTGTTTTGGATACTTTGTTGTGTGTTGGATATGGGTGTTGAATTTCAATTTGCTATCAAGGTGAAGACCCAGAAATTTTCCCTCATTATGTTTAGCAGTAAGAGTATTGTTAATCATAATGTTTAGCTGGACATCACTTGCTCTGCTCCCAAATGTAAAGGTTTTGTCACTGTTAAGTGTAAGTTTATTGGCAGTCATCCAGGTCGATATTTTTACGAACTCTTAACAAATAATATTAAGTGAGGCAAGATTAGGGTGGGAGATAACAGAAGTTGTGTTGTCAGCAAAGAGAATAGATGTAAGTTGTTGAGATACATTTGGAAGGTCATTGATGCATAAAAGGAAAAGTAGGGGGGAGGGGGCCAAGGATGCTTCCCCTGTGGTACACCAGTGTCCAGAGGTCTTGTTGAGAAGGCTGTCCCTAATAGACATATTGCTGTCTATTAGTAAGGTAAGATGATATATGCAAGTACATGGCCTCTTATACCGTAGTGATCAAATTTTGTGGATGTTAATTTTTTTTGTCGAGTGCCGTGTAAAGCATTTTTGTAATCGCATCATTTGTGTTTTCGTTTCTCCCGAGGCCAAACTGTCAGGGCAGGGGTTGAGGATGCTTTGTGATGTTATAAAGGAGTATACTCTCTTGTGTACGAGTTACTTGAAGATTTTGGATGGTAAAGGCAAGTTTGATGTTACACTGTAAAGGTTGAATTTGTGCTGCAAGTTTTAACTATTTTTTAAATATGCCAAGTACTTATCACAATTCTTACTGTATACCACTGCATGTTTCAATAAGACCACACCTGACATAAAATAAAGCTTACAGAAAACCAAGTTAAAATAGAAAACAAATGTAATGGGTTAGGTATGGGTAGTGGTATACCCAACCAAAGACAAGAAACCTTTACTTGCAAAGGCATTACCTCGTAGTGAGGCTGGCCCTACATGGTGACCCATTTGGTTACCGACCATAACTTAAGTGATGTGCACATCATCCACCATGCTATGCCGGTATCAGAGAGAGGAGTTAGTAATGCTGTAATTAACTTCAAAATGTAATTATTAGTTTAGATGGAAAATTGGATCTTAAAAGCTATATCAAGGATGTAAATAACTGCACATACAGAAGGAAATAGTCGAGTACTTTGCTAAAGTATATTTGTTAGCACTACATATACTTGTTTCAGCTGTACATACTTTAATCAAATTTAAACTACAAAAAAAAAAAAAAATTAGTAATGCAGATCTTGCAAAAATATAGCTTGTAAATGCTGCATTGTGCAAGAACTCAAATGACTTTTCTCAAAAAAAAAAAAAAAAATATTGTAGTTCATCCTTAAAAATGCCTGAGATTAATTTGTTAAGGATTATTGAACCACATTTAAATACAACAAATTTTATTGGTTCTATATTTACAAAAAAGAAAACAATCCTATAGCCTTTGCAAATAACCATAGAGGATGCAACCAGTCATATCTATGGAACACAAGTTTTATGGCATTAGTGGATATTGACAAACGACACTGTTGGTCTCTGGTTTATTTCTGTGAAAAATAAAGAAAATTATGATCTGTAATCATGAAATAACATCTTTAACACAGCCGAGTTACTTCAGTAAAGCTGCCACAGTCTTTTTTTTTAAGTCACAGAGGCATCAGGATCAATGTCCATTGCTTACAAAGGCTGAAGATATGCAAAAAGAGAGTGCATTTGGTCAGCAATTCATTTACATTACAACGAGGTAAAAACCTGGAAACAGGCGTCAGCAAAAATAGGTCAACTTTAGTTCCATTGTATATAAGCTATAACAAACAACAACCCAAACTCGGTGTGCCATACAAGAACACCCATCTCTCTCGATTCATTGTTCAACAAATAAGCACATTCTTCACTATGGGAGATTATTAGTTAAAGCATTACTCTTTAAATCATAACCATACTAGGTGAAGTGACATGCATAGTCAAACTATTGCTGTGTGCTAAGCAAATTAACATAAACAGCAATGGGTCTCTGTTGACATCCAACAATTGCAACAAAGGAGGTCTCTAGAGTGATGTGGAGAGCTGCAGTCTCAACATACAGCTGTGTCAACAAAATGGTAGGATGCTAGGTGATTAGGCTTTGGAAACACAGTCTCATTGTTTATATAATAAGAATACTTGAGATAAAATTACTGTTATTATTTTATTAAGATACAGTACATGTCTGTATTATGACTGATGAGATGTTAAAATATTTTTTAGTTAATGAACTGATGTATTTTACAAAATAAATAGTTTCTGTGTTGTCCAATGCTACACACCTCCTTGAGGCACCGGGCCTACCTACACCTACACTCTTCTCAGCAGCCAAAAATTGCTACCTACCATCAACACTACTCAAATGACATGTAAATGCACAGGGGTATAACATCTCTTCATTAATGACTAAGACATCACATGTCTAAAAATAAATAACAGCTATCTATAGGGTTCACTATGCCTATCACAATGACATTGCATGAGAATGAAGCGATTCTGGGTGATGTGACTTTGTCGAGCTCATACCCACAAACCTGAGAGGGAAGCCACCCACTGAATGGCAGCAACAATTTCCACACCTGTTGCAGGTGCACAGACCTATGGCAGTGTGGGCAGCTACCCTTACAGACCTGCAGACTCAAAGTGCAGTGCAATCCAAGTGAGGCCATGCGGCTTTTTGGCCCAGATGACCACAGCACCAAAAGCACAGTTCTTGTGACTTAAGGACACTATCCTACAGCAACCTTGCACTGACTTGCTACTCTTATTGCATCCAACATAAACACATTTACACAGACTTATGTTCAGCCATGTGCTTTTACAAATAACAAGTGAGCATGCAACCCCAAAGGATCACAGTTCACAGCAGTTTAAGCGTTGTACCCTTGGTGTCTGGGCAGTTCCCCACCCAGAAGTCTCTCCCTGTAAGGCACGAGCGGGCGGGGGCAGGGGGAGATGCCCCCTTTGCCTGCCTTCCACGCCACAGGGTTAACAAGATGGAGCAGAACCTACATTATGTAGTTAAATTGCTCACATGACAGCACAACATACTGTCCTGCATGGCACTGGCCCTTCTCTAACAGATAAATTTTTAAGTGGGTGTGGTTGAAGAGGAGGCCTGCCAGAAAGTTGATGGGCTGGAGAAATTGCAGGTGTAGAAGCCAGTGATGATCCAACACCACTGCTACTGCGGGCCTCTGTTTCATCACTACTCTCCTCTGATTGCACTCCGCTGTCACCCACTTCAAGTGATGCAGCACTATAATGCTTCAGATAAATATCTGGGTTGCCCAAGTGCTGCTCAGCAACTGCCAAATCCTGCTGAACACCAACAATATGCACCATATTTTTCAGTACTTTTTCAGCTTTAATTATCTCAGTAGCAAGGGACATAGGAGAGGTACCAGTGTAATGATCAGTCACATCATATTTATGTGAAACAGTTTCCACTTCCTCAGATCCACACTCGCTAATAGTGTCAGACTTATCTTGAGCTTGAGCAGTGAGCATGAATCCACTCAACATTTGATCATCTATAGATGTTGGTGGAATAGGGATTTCATCTAGTTCCACACCAAGCTGATAATACTTTGTATAGGCAGTGGGGTTATAAATATCTGGATTTTCAGTAAGCCTATCCATTTCCTCATCATCAAAACTATGGTTGACTGAGGCAGGATGGCTGGATGATGCTTCTGAATATAAGTGATCATAGCTGAGGTTACTGATGACACTGGCACCATCATATTCATCCAAAGTATCAGGAGTGGTCTCTCTCAGATTTAATACAGCAACCCTTTTGCTGCAGTCTTCCATTCCCACAATAGGGGCTTCACTGGATGCTGCAACGAAAGGGTTGCCTTTCACGTTTTTTGGCTCCATAACAGTAATAGAGTTCTCTTCTGAGATCCCATCTTCAATATATTCATCAAATGTGTCAGTTTCTCTCAAAATGTCTTTTTCTGCTAGCAAGCGAGTCTGAACTTCTTTAGACAGTGTAAATGCTTTTTCTGGAGTTACTTCTCTGATCCACCTCTTGACAGCCTCAGTGACTTTCAAGTCTTTAAAGCTTATGTGATGTATATTTTCATTAGTACTTCCATCATTTACATTACATACTGTTTCTTGCCAAGTATTTGTCTCACTGCCAGAATTTAAAGAGCAGTCTTGAGCTTCTGTTGTCTGGTAACTTTCAATATAAAGATTACTTTCATTACATGGTGGTGCATGTATTTTTAATTGCTCACAAGGATTGTCAATCAAAATTTTATTGTATATTTTAGATATTTCATGTGTTGTAGTCAGTGAATCATTTACTTCAAAACAAAATTCTGAGGTTACATTTTCTAATTCTGTAACTTGTGTATCATTACTGTCAGATGTTGAATCAACAGTAGATGCTTCTTTGCTTGCAGTATTTACACAGGGATGTAAGTAACTGCTTTCACACTCGGAAATTGTCATATGAAGTATTTTATTCTCATTTGATTCCTCAGCTGCATCATCAAACTCATCTCTTGCTTGAGGTTCAAAACTGGTTGACCTTACATCTGGTTTATGATCTTGACAACAATCACTGTTTGTAGCAGCTGCTGATAGTGTTTCCTGACACACCTGGAAGATATCAGTTTCATCAGATTTTACTGAACTTTGATATGTGTTGGAGCCATCAAAGAGATCTGGAGTTTCTATGCAAAGCAAATCTTGATTGCCAGTTTTTGAAGAGGATTCTCTGCCATTATCACTGGAGTCTACAGTAAATGGATTTCCATCAGTAACCTGAGGTTGAGCACAATGTAATTCACCAGTAGAATCTTCTTGAAGCTGTACATTTGAATCAACAAATGTTTTCTCAGAGAAACCTTCCTGAGATACTGCCTCTGGCCCTATTCTTTCTAATCCACTTGATGAAACCTCTTGGCATGGCAGTGTAGTGGAGTTTAGATCAAGAGTATTTTCTTCTGCACTATCATTCACAGCTAGTTTTGATATTTGGGGGGTCTGCTGTTTACAAGCTTCTACTTCATCACAAGAGAGCTCAGGTGCAGCTATTTCCTCTGACTCTGACACACCTGAGTCTGAAAACTCTGTGGAATCCGACTTGCCCGCTTTTGCATTTTCCTGCAATATTTCCTGTATCTGTCGTCTCTCTGTATCTTGTAAATCACTGAAGACTGTCTTAGATGCATCATCTTGGTTGGTCCCTTCAGATGACTGTACTTCTGCAGGTATTGGTTCAGTGGCTACTTCTGGGAGGTAAGGAGAATGTTGGACAGATACGAAACCTTCATCAGGGAGGTGCTGGTGAAAGGCTGGAGTCACGTACTGAAGGCCATGAATCTGACAGACAGATGCTGCTGCTTCAATGGGTACCACATAACCACCTGGCGTTGCTACAAATGGTTCACCAGTGTATAACTGGGGATCCAAGTAACTTCCCTGTAATGAAATTTTATCTCCAGTTATATATACGTATACTGTAGTAATACACTGTGGTAAAACAGAATGAGTTCTAATCATAAAACTGGAGGAATGTGGAATATTTATACACAGAACACAGACCTACACATATGTTAACACTCAGTATTCTATACAAAACTAAAATTTATTCAGTACATGAATAAGTTTCACAAAATGTTTGATGTACATGTACTCCACAATTTTTTATCACGCATTTGAAAAATATACAGTACAGTGGAACCCCGGATTTCGGCCGTAATCCATTTCAGAAGGTTGGCCTAAGTCCGAACAGGCAGACAACCGAAGTAATATTTCCCACAAGAATTAATGTAAATACAGTGGTCCCTCGTTTTTCGTAATTAATCTGTTCCTGGAGGAGCTACTATAAACAAAATTTACGATTTGCGAATCAATTTTTCCCATAAGAAATAATGTAAATACAATTAATCCATTTCTGACACTCAGAAGTATTAAAACAAAAAATTTTTTTACATGAAATATACATGTAGTACATAAACAATACAATGGGAAATGATGAATGAAACATTAACAGCATAACACTTCCCTTTACTGGAGATTCTTCTTAGTGTATGGGAGACTAGAGGAGGAGAGAGATTGGATTGTTTACAGTTTGGAAGGGGAATCCCCTTCCAGCAACACCTCAGGTACCAACTGCTTCTCTGGGGTTGCTTCTCTTCTCTGTTTCTTAATGCCACTAGTCACTCTAGTCCTGTCTCGCAAAGTAACTGTGGAGAGAGCTCTGTTTCTGGCATCTCTTTAACACTTCCCTAAAATGGCCCAAAACTTTGTTACTGTACATATTTCTCACCTTTACCACAGGCTTGGCACTAGGAGCTTTCTTTGGAGCCACGGTAGCTTATTTAGTACTTGCAAGCACTAAAATGAGTGGAATATTATGAAATATTTCGTAGGAGCACTTGAGGGGACCTTCACTCACTGGTAAACAATGCCAGACTGGCTGGGTAGGGATGCCTCCCCGGCTCACACCGTGCGTAAGCGTCCTGGACGAATTACTATTCGCGAGTCAACCTATGAAAAGCGAGTCCATGTTTATACGAAAATACCCCTATGATTGGCGAAATTTACAATTGCCGAGAACTACGAAAAGCGAGGGACCACTGTACAATTAATCCGTTCCAGACACCCAAAAATAATAACAAAAAATACATTTTTTTAAAGTTTAACTATAGTTTTACATAAAACAATGAGAAAGAAATATAAAGCAATAATTTTACTAATGAACATTACATACCTTTATTGAAGACTCTTGTTGGCATATTGAACAAGGGGGGCTCCTTGTCGTGATGAAGAGGCTCTTGGTCTAAGGAATTAGACCTGTCAGTCTCCTTCCTCAGACTGAACTTAATTATCCCCCAATCCCCCCTTCCCTATCCCATCCTCCCCTTTTTCCTTTCCTCCTCCTCCTCCCCACCCCTCCCCTCCCTTTTGCCCTTCCTCTTTCTGGCCTTTGGGATTTTTCCCACAGGCATGCTAGTTCCTAGGTAGGGGAAAGGGTACCTGGGTCCATCCCATTCCATTGAGGCTCTTGGCGGTGGCATAGTTTACCATGGAATCTGGATCATCTGGGGATGTCCCGATCCCTCTCCGGTATCCTGGAGGGTGTCTTTCGGGTGACGGGTGTATCTCTGGAAGCCACCTTTTGGATTCCAGGGGTGGTGGCCGAAGGAGGTGTGCTTTGTGGGGGATATCCGGCCGCCCTCTCTTTTGTCCATTGAGGTAGCTCGGCAGATGTGAGGTTGTTATCCCGGATTGCTGGTTTACTGGCATGAAGGGTAGGGTATGGCACGGGTTCCATGCTGCATCTGCGCTACTTGCGGTGCGGAGAGAGATTTCCGGTCCTTTCATTCCTCCTGGGAACTATTCCTCCCGGCTCCCCCCCCCTTTTTTTTATTTTTTTTTTTTTTTAAACAAAAAGAAAAGAAGTAACCTAACCATGGAGAACCCAGTCCATGAACCTACTACCCCTGGGCCCCTTCTTGATACTGCACCCCATTCTGACCCTGCCTCGTTTTTTGACTACTCTTCGGACACTCCTGATGCCCCTGTACCTCTTGCTGGTGCTGTTTCCTCACCTGACTCCTTCAATTTGTCTGACCTCCGCTCTCCTTTGACTATGCTTCTGGCCTCTCCCTGTATGGTGCGGCAATTTTCGAATTGCCAGCCCGTTTCACGTCGGACCAACTCTGGTCCCACTCCTAAACGCCAACGACAATTGCCTGGTGATGATACTTCACCACCACCTCATTCTTCTCAGAAAAGAAGAACACATCAAGCATTCCCTTTCCATGCTCGGTTTCGGAATGCACAATGGACTAAATTCTTTACTTTAGGACTGACTTCCTTTATTGCCTATCTTTCCAACCATAGTACATGTATTGGCAAGGTGCTCCTCCGCCATGTTGGTAGAGATATTTCCTTTCATGCTCTGAAGAGCGGTATGCGCATCATCACTGTTCAGAATGCTACCCAAGCTCATGATCTTTCTCTTCTTTCACATACTGATACTATTCCTGTCAATATCAAAAAACATCATTCCCTTAATTCTTGTAGTGGTAATGTCATTCTGCCCCATACCATAGTCCAACAGAATTTTCAGGCATGTGGCAATGACATTCTTGAACAGCTGGAACCTCAAGGTAGACACTTATGTCCTTCCTGCCCGCAGGCAGAGACGATACCCTTGCAATGTGGCTCGATTAACTTTCAACAGCTGTGAACTCCCGTCCTCTGTTTATGCTGCAGGACATTGGTTACAAGTTCAAAAGGTGATTCCTACACTGCAACAGTGTAGAAATTGCTGGCGATTTGGTCACCCAGCAAAATATTGCAGATCTATAGCCGAATGCCCAGTCTGTGGTGCTGACGACCATTCTAATACGTCTTGCAGTCGACCTCCCTCTTGCCTTAATTGTCATGAGGCTCACCCTTCATACTCTCGCCATTGCCAGGTCTACTTAAATGAGCGTGAAATCCGTTGCCTCAAAGAGGCAGGAGGTCTCCCTTATGCTATGGCAGTTTCTCATCTCCACCTCCAAGGGAGACTACCCCGTGTTTCAAAACATCCCCCAACTTCTGGGGCCCCATCTTCTGCAGCCTCCTCTGTTGTTACCCCTCTCATAGTCACTCCTGTATCTAATTCTTTTGCTGTCCTGGGCTCAGACGTCCCTACTTCAACACCTCAGTCTGTTCTGACATCTTTGAGTTCTCTCAAGCCCTGGTATCGACAAGATCTCGTAAGACACCTACCAATCATCCCTCTACTTCTCAGAAGTCCAAAAAATCCCCTTTGCTCAAATCTTCTTTGCCCCCTCCTTCCCTTCTTTCGCCCCCACATTTTACCTTTCCAGTCTCTGTACCTGGTTCTTCCCCTCTCACCCCTCAGGGAAGGTTCCTTGATGTTGGTGAGGGGCTCTTGATTTAGGGAATTGGATCTGTGCTCCAGTTCCCCGAATTAAGCCTGAATGCCTTCCACATCCTCCCCCCCCCCAGGCGCTGTATAATCCTACGGATTTAGCGCTTCCCCTTGATTATAATAATCTTCCCCTCTCACTGGCTCTATTATAAGTGTGGAGGTTCACCCCCTCCAGTTCCCAACACACTTTCACCCCCCCCCCTCCTGCCCTACTTTAATACAGTCCATTACTGTCCCAATCTTTACTCACCCTCCTCCTTCTATCTCCAATATTGTCTCCCATACAACGTATTTGAATTCAGAAACACTTGACGCTATTTCAGAATATATTGCAGAGACTAAACCTTCAATGGACACTGATCCACCTCCTGTTCCTTCTCTTCCATCTCCTCAACTCCATTCTTCCCAACGCTCCGTTCCTTCGCTGCTTGAATGTTTTTGGATGCCACCGCATGTAGACTTTTCTAACCCCTCTAGTCCCTCGGTGCCTTTACCTGCAGATTCCTGGTATTTCCCTTGTTGCCAATCATGGCCTATTTACAGTGGAATATCCACAGCCTCGGGTAATCGGGGCAAGCTTGAGATGTTGCTTTCCAGGTTTTCCCCTGTTGGTGTTTGCTTACAAGAACCAAAATTACACTCAGCTGTTTTCCAACCTATCAAAGGCTATAATTTATTGTATTCTTCAGATCCTTTCTCAGATGGGGCCTTTAATGAAAGTGCCCTTCTATGCAATACAGTGGACCCCCGGTTCGCGATATTAATCCGTTCCTGAGAGCTCATCGTAAACCAAAATTATCGGAAAGTCCAGGAATTATCTTTATGAGATCTGTATGCAACTGCCTTGTTTTTTCACAACTGATCGACTCCACAACACTATCTCCCGCTAATTGTTTGTTGTTGATCCACACCAACAGTAACTTCTCCACATCTTCGATTATTGATGATCTTTGTTTCGTTAGCATATTTACCCCTTTCGCAACATTAGCTTCCTTGATTTCTACTTTCTTTGCCAGGACAGAAGCAATTGTTGATTTGGATTTCCCATATATCCTAGCAAGCTCCAAGACATGTAGCTGTATAGCCCTTGTGGCTTAGCGCTTCTTTTTGATTATAATAATAATAAATTCGAGACATGTACACCACTTTCGTACTTTTCTATAATTTCTTGAATTCTACTGTGCTTCTCATTTTTTTTTACCAAAGGGATGGCACTAGGAACTTTCTTTGGGTCCATGGTGGATTATTTCGCAGTTGCTCTCAATAAATAACCACAAAAAACAATGGATTATAACAATGTTTGGATGAATGCGTGGAGCTTTGCTCACTCACCCAGAGACACAGCCAGACCGACTCACGAATGTGGCGTGGTGGGCGGATGCATCCAATACAGCAGATTTCCGAGTTGTTGGCCGAAATCCAGGACAGAATTTTGCAAACAAATCTGTGTGGGTGAGGCTTGAACTTGCAGCGAGTTTACTGTAGCCAGCTGGCCCAGAGCTTTATGACTCGCTCGCCACGAGTT